AAAAAAAAAATAAATAAAAAAATCCACAAAAAATATCATAATAACTTTAGAGCCTCCACAAATCAAACAAAATATGTAAAAAATTTACGTCTTCTGCCTTACCGCACTGTTGCAATTTCTAGTTTCTCATTTTCTTGATTTCAGCAGCTAACGCATCCCCATGCACAATGTATTGTCGAAAATATAGAAAAGGAGAAACAAACTGACGAACTCAGGAATACAGCAGCTTCGGTAGCAAATCGTGATATTGAGGTCGTAGTCGTTGTTTAATCTTTTTTTTTGGCCTCATGATCCCAGACGGGGCATTGCCCTCTATGATTTGAATTCTTATATGCTAGGATCTATGTGATTGGTCGACTAGGGCGCCTCAGGCGTTCACTTTGTAAAATAACAGAGAATAAAGAAGATGACCGCAACGTCCACGTTCGTATCATTTACTCCGGAAGTTAAATCCAGCGTAAAATAAAACATGGTCCTTCGAGCCGGATACAAATCGGTGAGATAGTGAAAGCAATCACGCAGAATCAGTAGAGAAACAAAGGCAAGCAAGCCTTACCGAAATTCGTTCGAGGCGGCAGTATCAGTACGCGGTCGTTGTCAGGCAAGATAACGATCGCGGCGGAATTAAGTGCAGACAATCAGTTGCGAGGAAAGCTGGAAATTCGCTCATCAGTTTTCCGATATTCTTTGAGCCAAGCAAGGTTCGAACAAGAAGAGTGCAAATATTCGTACAAGCTTAGTGCGACAAAGACAATTACAGTATCGTGGACGTATGAAGATAACAAGCTCGACTCTGGACAGACGGGCATAAGCGAATTCAAGGCCATCTAAGACATACAAGGAAGGCAAGAAGGAGCGGTAAGCAAAGCCGACCCTTTTGCTTATTCAATCAACCGTTGCATCCAACAAAGACAACGACCGTCGCGAATATTTTACCGACGGAAGATTTACGATCGATAAGAGTTATCGATCAGTTTTGGCGCACATCAAGGGCATCTGTCGCTACAAGCATATTACCGACGGAAGATTTACGATCGATAAGGATTATCAACAAAACCTTGGCATCCATCAAGGACAGCGGTTGTTACGAGCACACCAACGAGGAAGATTTAAAAGTCAACCCACTCTTGGCATACGGCTAGGACTGTAGCGGCCACGACGCGAGCGAACAACAGCAGGAAAGTAACCGAGCCATCCATCTCCTCATATCCACATCCACGACCCTAACGCCTCACAAATTACATATTCGCATTTTAGACTATATATTCACTTTGACATCTACTATCTTAGGCTGACATTTCGTTTTCGTTTCAGTCTGTCAATCTACTCAGTATATTAAAATGGCGTCACTGAGCGATCTTAGCAGGAAGCGAGGATCACTTAAGATGAGAGTAACTTGCTTCAAAAATTTTCTTAAAACGATGTCGTTAAAGTTTACAGGCGATAGTCAAGCACCAAACGAGGCGGATAGGGAGGAAATCAATCAACGTCTCGACAGGCACATGAGTATTTTAAAGCTATACGAGGACATACAAAGTAGCATAGACGAGATGACAGACGATCCTGTGGAAACTATCGAGTACCGCGAACAGTTCGAATCAGAGTACTATGAGGCAATAAAGGCCACTAACAGCTTATTAGGTAGGTACAGTCCAGCAAGGGTGGTTCCGTTAGCGGAAGCAAGTTTCACACAACCTTACGATCAGCATCGCGATGTGATTGAGAATAGTTTCGAGCAATTGCAAGTGCAACAGAACGCACAAACAGAGCAACATAACAATCTTTTAGCGTCTACCTCCGCGGGTGTCACATTCACAAGTCAGAGCAACGTTCCAAGTGTCAAATTGACAGACGTTAAGCTACCAATCATAGAATTACCTAAATTCAAAGGGGACCTGTCGAATTGGTTAAAATTTCGCGATACATACAAATCTCTCATTCACGATAATCAGAGCATTAGTAATATTCAAAAATTTCACTATCTGATAGCCGCATTGGAAGGCAGTGCGGCACAGATAGTCGACGAGTATAAATATAACGAACAAAATTATGAGATTGTTTGGGACGCGTTGCACAGACGGTACGACGATCCCAAATTGTTAATTTACAATCATATCGAAGCAATGTTTAAAACAAAGGGCATAAACGGTGAATCGGCCGTGCAGTTAAACAGCATAATTGATAGTTTCACGAAGCATACGCGCGCGTTAAAGAAGTTACAAGAGCCGGCCGAGCATTGGGATTCACTGCTTATTTATCTTATTGTCACAAAATTAGATAACGAGACGGCCCGCGAATGGGAAAAACAAAAGTTACTTTTGCCGGACAAGCCGAAGCTTGAGAACCTGATAAAGTCGTTGCGCGATAGGGTAGCGTTGCTGCAAACTATGGAGAGAAAAAACGGTGTAATCAAAACAAAGGGAAACTCCCAAAGCAAAACTAACGCGTTTTTATCTAACAAAACCAGCTGTATTTTGTGTAAGGGAGAGCATTACATTCAAAAATGCAGTACATTTTTAAAGTTAACGCCGCAAGAAAGAACCGAGAAGGTCAAACAGCTTAAGCTATGTACAAACTGTTTAAAAAAGGGTCATTTTATAAAGGATTGCAGTTTCGGGGCGTGCAGAAAATGTGATAACAAGCATAACACGTTGCTGCACTTTGAAAGGGGAGCGCAATCTCCACCGAGTTCAACGACGACAATGTGCTCGTCAGGCCAGGCCAGCGCCATTAATGAGTCCAACGTAATTTTAGCTACGGCATTAGTGAACGTGAGCGGTGCTAGCGACGTCGTATGCAGCGCTCGCGCATTCTTGGATTCATGCGCCCAGTCAAATTTTATATCGGAAAGCCTATGCAATAATTTAAAGCTCGAAAAAAGTCCGGTAAATACGCAGGTGATGTCGCTAAATCAACCCGGGCCTAAGATTAGATATAAATGCGAACTCGAAATCAAGGCGCGTAACGGGGGCTTCAAATTTAAAGCCACGTGTCTCATCATCCCGAAAATAGTAGATGAGGTAATGCCCAGTGAGCAGGTAGATTTAAAGGATGTTAGGATTCCGTCTCACTTGAGATTAGCAGACCCGTCATTCAACTTGCCCGGGCAAATAGATTTATTAATTGGCGCACAATGGTTCTGGGATATTCTTTGCGTAGGCCAGGTAAAGTTAAACAACAATCTCGTTATGCAGAAGACTAGATTAGGGTGGATTATAGGAGGTCCTATAAGCGCGACGACTCCGAAGGTAGTGCAATGCAATTCCATTAGGCAAACGAGCTTAGAGCAGCAATTGACCAAATTTTGGGAGATAGAAGAAACACTCGGTACAAAGGCGTTGTCGCAGGAAAAAAAGGATTGCGAATCTCATTTTGTGAAAACTACGCGTCGCGACGAGGATGGACGCTTTATTGTAAATATGCCTCTCAAGGAGGCGCCAACGTGTTTAGGGGAATCCAGGCCGCTAGCCGTGAAACGTTTGACAGCCCTAGAAAAGAGGTTTAGGGTGCGACCCGAGTTGCGCGAAGACTACTGCGCATTCCTAAAGGAATACGAGCAGCTGGGCCATATGAGCGAAGTCAAAGGAAGCTCAACAGAATTTTCGTATTATTTGCCTCATCATTGTGTCGTGAAGATGGAAAGTAGCACAACAAAAACGAGGGTGGTGTTTGATGCATCCGCTCCCACTACAAATGGACGGTCGCTAAACTCTATTCAGATGATCGGACCGGTAATACAAAACGACTTATTTTCTATCCTTATGCGGTTTCGAAAACATGAGTATATCATTTCCGCGAATATAGCTAAAATGTACAGGCAGGTGTTGATAACGGAGGAGCAGCGGCCGTTGCAAAGAATCGTGTGGAGAGAGCATCCTAATGACCCGATTAAAGCTTACGAGTTAAACACGGTGACTTACGGTACGGCCTCAGCATCATTTCAGGCAATCAGATGCTTGCATCAATTAGGTGTAGAATGCATGCAGGAAAATCCAGAGATAGCCAGGATAATTTGGAGCGACTTTTATGTCGATGACCTTCTAACAGGTAGCGATACGATCGAGGGTGCGATTAATATTGCGAAGCAAACGTCACAAATTCTCGCTAGAGGTTGTTTCGAGCTCCGAAAGTGGGCATCAAACTGTCCAACGGTCTTGAGTGAGATAAGCGGAGATAGCGCGGTCATTAATAACATTCAGATTCCAGACGATAGGCAAAGAAAAACGCTAGGAGTTAGTTGAAACGCGCAGTCCGACGTTTTGGTCTATAGAGTTGACGTACCAAACTGCAATAAGATCACAAAGCGGCACATTTTGTCTGTAATATCGAAAATATTTGACCCGTTGGGGCTATTGGCTCCTTGTATAGTGTTAGCGAAAATAATGCTGCAAAAATTGTGGTTGGAAAGGCTTTCATGGGATGAATCTTTGCCATCCGAGTTACATTGCCGTTGGCGACAATACAGTGAACAGCTGAGCGTGCTTAATAATCTGCAAATTCCTCGTTCGGCATTCTTGAGCAAGCGCATCTCGGCTCAAATACACGGGTTCTCCGACGCTTCAAAGGACGCTTACGGAGCGTGTGTGTACATAAGATCAATTGGTTCAGAAGGAAACGTTCAAGTTAGCTTGCTCTGCGCCAAAACAAGAGTGGCCCCGTTAAAAACGCAGACCATACCTCGTCTTGAGTTATGCGCGGCATATCTATTGTCGAAATTAGTCAATGCAGTGGTCTCGGCTCTTGGCATGAGCTTAGAAGTAACCACGCTTTGGTGTGACTCCACAATAGTATTAGGTTGGTTACGTACGCAACCAAATCTTCTCCCGATTTTTGAATCCAACAGAGTAGCGCGCATCCAGGAATTAACCGAAATAGGGGCATGGAGGCACGTGCCCACAGAAAGCAATCCTGCCGATTGGGCATCGCGCGGAGCGAATCCAAGCGAACTACAAAGGGCTAGCCTCTGGTGGAACGGACCTGAATTCTTGCTCAGTTCCCGCGAGAAATGGCCCAAAATGCCAAACGTAGACTACGCAATGCCAACGAAGAGTTCCACACTTCTTGTAGAAATGTCGGGTGGTACGATTATAGACGAATTGTTCACGCGCCATTCGAAATTGCCTAAAATCGTAAGAATTCTCGCTTACTGTCGTAAATTCATACACTACTTAAAAACGAAGGAAAAGCAAGACGGAGGCATAAGTGCCAAGGAATACGAACAATCTCTAATGGAATTAGTTAGAATGTCACAGCGTAATACCTTTCGAAAGGAAATAGATTCACTTAAGGCTGGCGTCCCAATTGTAAAGGGAAGATTAGCTTCCTTAACACCGTTCATAGACGAAAAAGAGTTGTTACGGGTAGGAGGCAGATTGAGAAATTCATCATTCGGAAGAGATAAAAGACATCCAATGATCTTAGATTCAACTCAAACATTTACCAAACGTCTTTTCGAGCACATGCATAAGCGATTGTTGCATGCGGGCCCCTCTCTATTGCTGGCGTCAATACGGGAGCAATTCTGGCCACTAAGAGGACGGAATTTAGCGAGAAAGGTAGTACACGCTTGCACCGTATGCAATAGATTCAATCCGCGACCGTTAAAAGCGTTGATGGGTAACCTACCGCGAGCGCGGGTCTCCGGCTTTCCCATTTCTTGTCACCGGGGTAGACTATGCCGGGCCTTTCGTTATAAAAGATCGTAAAGGAAGAGGTTACAAAACAAACAAATGCTATATATGCGTGTTTGTATGCCTTGCAACAAAGGCACTGCACTTGGAGCTTGTATCTGACTTGACCAAGAAAGCATTTATTGCAACGTTGAGACGTTTCGCATCACGTCGAGGAAAACCATCACAAATATACTCCGATAACGGAACAAGCTTTGTTGGAGGTCACAACGAGCTAATAGAGTTAGGCAAGTTCTTTGCGAAAGAATGTAAGGAGTTGGGAGAGTCGATAGAAGACTTAGGAATCTCGTGGCACTTTATTCCTTCCTATTCGCCTCATTTCGGTGGCTTGTGGGAGGCAGGGGTAAAGGCTACCAAATATCACTTAAAACGGGTGGCTGGAAACGCGTTGTTGACATACGAAGAGTTTTGCACATTTTTAGCTCAAATAGAGGCGTTATTGAATTCCCGGCCATTGACTCCCCTATCCTCAGATCCACATGACCTCTCTCCTCTTACGCCGGCTCATTTCCTCATCGGTCGGACCTTTAGCTCAATAGCCGATCCGGACTTGAGTCACTTGAAGCAACCAAGGCTGTCCAGTTGGCAAAGAATCCAGCAACTGCAGCAAAACTTATGGGAGCGCTGGAACAAGGAATACATCTCCGAGTTGCAGCAGAAAACCAAGTGGAGAGTGCCTTTTCCACCGTTGGCAATCAACACCTTGGTGCTACTAAAGGAGGACCATTTACCTCCTGCTAAGTGGAGACTTGGGCGAGTGATGGAGGTCCACCCCGGATCAGACGGCGTTCCTAGAGTTGCATCCGTTAGGACGTCCACTGGAATCGTCCGCAGAGTGTTCAGCAAACTCTGCCCCTTATTGCGAGATGAGATAGACGCTCACATATAGGATATGAAATCAGATGTAGTTTAAAACTGAATAGTTTGCATTATCATTTTAAGGTTCTTTTTTTTATCATCAATTCTGTTACATTGTTGATATCTAATTAGTTTGTCTTTTGTTTAAAATGGTTGATTTAGTTGATTATCAACTAGTCTATTTTCCCTTGTTCGTTTAGAAATGTAATACTTCAACGTCGGGGGGCTTTATGTTTAATCTTTTTTTTTTGGCCTCATGATCCCGGACGGGGCATTGCCCTCTATGATTTGAATTCTTATATGCTAGGATCTATGTGATTGGTCGACTAGGGCGCCTCAGGCGTTCACTTTGTAAAATAACAGAGAATAAAGAAGATGACCGCAACGTCCACGTTCGTATCATTTATTCCGGAAGTTAAATCCAGCGTAAAATAAAACAGTCGTCAACTCCACAGATTCTATCTCGGACTACACAAATTTTTCTGATCCTGGTCTTTGGCCAACACGGAATTCGGAAATGATTGATTTCATTTTGCGAAATCCATTGAAGCAACAAGATCCTAGAACTATGAATTTCGCGATTTCGAAACGTATGTATGGATCAAGATCCAGATGTTGTACAGCACAAATGTTTTTTCAAAAAACACCAAATGGTAAAATGCATCAACGAGAATGGATGTCATTTTCCCCCTCAAAAGGTGTCGTATTTTGCATACCTTGCAAACTATTTTCGACGTCAGTAAACACGTTTACAGAAGGCTTCAACGACTGGAAGAATGAAGCAAGAATAGCGGAACACGAGAGAAGTTTTAATCATCGGGAAAATACACGAAAGCTTGTGATGCGAGGAAACGTCTTGGGAAAAATTGACAGCAAGTTACACATCCAATACATGCAAGAATGTAATTACTGGCGACAAGTACTGAGTCGCATCATACTTGCAATTAAATTTCTTGCATCTCGAGGCTTGGCCTTTCGAGGAACAGACGAGAAATTTGGTTCGCTCCGTAATGGCAATTATATGGGCGTTCTTGAACTGATGGCTCGAAATGATCCGTTTCTCCAAAATCACATCGATCGACTTGGAAATCCCGGAAAAGGAAACGTATCATATTTTTCCAAAGATATTTGCGAAGAGTTCATTGCGATGATTTACGATGATCTTCTTAATAAATTAATTTTGGAAGTCAAAGCGTCTCAATATTATGCAATAAGCGTAGATTCGACACCTGATATTTCACATTCAGATCAGTTAACTTTTATTATTAGATACGTGTGCGAGAAAGGAAAGCCGACTGAACGTTTCATGCAGTTTATACCTATTGAAAGTCACAAAGCGACATATATAGAGCAAGTGATTGTGCAAGTATTGCTGGATAAAAGTATTGATATTATGGATTGTCGTGGACAATCTTATGATAATGCCAGCAATATGGCGGGTTGTTATGGAGGAGTACAAGCCAAAATCATTGAACGTAATCCTTTGGCAATTTACGTCCCGTGCGCAGCGCATTCCCTAAATTTAGTGGGCCAAGCAGCTGCAGAGTGTTGTTTGGAGGCAACCAAATTTTTTATGTTCGTGCAACATATTTATACATTTCTAAGTGCATCTACATCTAGGTGGGCAAAAATAAAATCAAAAGTAGAGAATCAACCCGGAATGCTACTTCCAAAAAGTCTGTCCAACACACGATGGTCAGCTAGAGCAGAAGCGTGCCGAGCACTTGTGAACTCGTGGGGAAGTTTGCGAGATGCGCTTGACGATATCGTAGAAGATGCCTCCGAAAAGCCAACCACAAAAGCCGAAGCCGAAGGATTGTTGCAACAATTTGGATCTCTTGAAACTGCTATAATGGTCGTCGTGTGGAGCGACATCTTGGAGCGTTTTGACAAAACAAATAAAAGCCTGCAACGTGTAAATATCGATTTGACAACAGTCGTACAGCTATATAATGCACTCCATACTTATATTGTCTCTTTACGTAATCGATTTGACCATTATGAAATACAAGCGAAAGAGTTATCCCAATGCAACGATTATGCACGTGAAAATCAGCGACGCAGAAGACGAACTGCTAAGTTCGATGAGGTTAACGACAATGATGTGATATTAGATACAAAAGCAAATATGCGTGTAAATACCTTTCTCGTTATACTTGATCGATTGGCAGGTGAATTAGAGAAGAGAAGTATAGCATACAAGGTAGTTGATACTCGCTTTGGCTTTCTCACTTGTTTGCTATTCCTAACGGATGCAGAAATTATCACCAAGTGTGAAGAGTTACAGGCGATATACTCCACCGACCTCGGCAACGATTTTGGAGAAGAATGTTTGTACTTTCGGAATTTCATACGGGAAATGGAATTGACGGACGAAGATATCAATGCTCAAAACTTTTTATTGATTATCCGTGAGAAGAGTATTGTCACAATATTTCCGAACATGGATATAGCTCTCAGAATGTATCTTACCCTCTTTTCGAGTAACGCTACCGGGGAACGATCATTTTCCACATTAAAAAGGATAAAAGATTATTTAAGGAACACGATGGGTCAGAGCCGTCTCTCTAGCCTCGCCTTTTTATCTGCGAACGGATGACAGGGCACAGACAGATACAATTATTGATAAATTCGCAAGCTTAAAAGCAAGAAAACGACAGATTTAGATCTTTGAAAAAATCGTTTATACATATATAAATATATATTAAGTATGTAAATAAACGTGTGGTCTTATTATATTTTTCTATATATAAAAAAGTATGAAATTTGTTTGATTATTATATAAGAGGGGGGGGGGGAGCGCCAATTTCATCAGGGCGCCAATTTTCATAAACCGCCCCTGTGTCTAGTAAGAGCGTAGCAAGGCTTACCCATAGGCGAGTAAAAATATACTCTAAATTTTTGTTTTCGCCGATAAGTGTCACCTTTGTGCTGCGTGCATTATAAGCAAAGTACCCGTTGTTGTTTGAATTGTGTTAGAATAAACGATTGAAGAAATCGCATATTCACATTGCAAAGACATCCAGATTCGTCGAATTTCGTTTTTTAAGCGCTTCGAAGTTGATGTCGGTCTTCCACGAAGCTTTCTCTTGATGAGTGACCACACATTTTCAATGGAATTGGTATCGGGTGATTGTGAAAGCCAATGGAGTGTCTCGATGTCATTTCTCTCTTTCCAGAGACATATGTACACTGGTATATACACGGGTATATTTTTTTTACATGTACTTTCAGAATCTCCTTAAATTTTTCATGGGAGAAAACCTGTGTTGTACGAGGGCAAATCAATAAGTTTTTAGAAAATCTGTCAGAGGGCACTCGCAGTGTCATGTCACATTACTTTTTGACAAATAGCATCTTTCAGCTGATTACTGTCAAATTTTGAGCGGAATTCATCGAGAGGTTTCATTTTTGTAGACGATTAAAGCAAACAACCTTTGTATTTTTTGCAAAATGGAAAAGAATGAATTTCGTGCAGTGATCAAACATCTATATATGAAAGGTTTAACACCGAAAGAAATCAAAGCCGAGTTGGATAATGTTCATAGCACATCTGCACCAGCGATTGTATACAATTGGGTGAATGAATTTAAACATGGTCGTACATCCACATGTGATGTACCTTGTTCGGGATGTTCAATTAAGGCTGCCATAAATTATCGATAAAATCCACGATATTGTTTTGACTGATCGACGAGTGAAAGTGCACGAGCTTGTTGAGGCCACAGGCACATCACATAGCACAATGATTTCAATTTTGAACGAACAATTGGGTATGAAAAAGCTATCGGCACGATAGGTGCCGCGTTTGCTAACTGTGGACCATAAGCGCCATCGTGAGACGATTTCAAAACAATGTTTGGAGATGTTTCAACGTAATCCAAATGGATTTCTGCGTCGATTCATTACTGTGGACAATACATGGATTTATTGCTTACATCCGAAACGAAGGAACAGTCATAACAATGGACTTCACCAGGTGAATCGAAGAAGGCGAAGATCGTGAAGTCGGCCAGAGAGGTGACGGCCACAGTTTTTTGGGTTGCACGCGATGTAATTCATATCCATTTGTTTTTGTCGAAACAAACGATCAATGGCGATTACTACGCAGCCTTATCGGACTGTTTCAACAACATTTTAAAGAAAAACATCCCCATTTCAATTTGGCGAAGAAGGAAGTGCTGTTTCATCAAGACAATGCGGATTTACACGTGCCCGGCACCGGGCCAAGTTCAACGAATTCCGCTACGAATTGCTTCCCCATCTAGCATATTCTTCAGATTTAGCCCCCTGCGACTATTTCCTGTTTCCAAACCTGAAGAAATGGTTCGGAAGAAAGAGATTCACCACCAGAAAGCAGATCATCGCCGAAGCAGAGGCCTATTTTGAAGGGTCGGACAAATCATATTATTTGAACGGCTTGAAAAAGTTGGAGAATCATCGGATCAAGTGTATCGAGTTGAAGGGAGACTATGTTGAGAAATAAAAATGAATCGGTAAAAAAAATGTGTTTTACTATGTTTTTCTAAAAACTTTATTAACGTGCCCTCGTAACGACGTATTCAAATTTCTGCGCCCAATTAATTTTTCATTAGTACAGTTAATTATTTCTGCATTTTAGAAGATAACAATTCACAGTTACACAGTTAACTACATTTTTAGTTTAATTGAAAATGAACGTTGTAAAGTTTTATTACTTCACTACAGGGTTGGGTAAGTTACTTTTTTTTTTTAACTAAGTTAAATTAAAGTTAACAACCTTGAAAATTTAACTTAGTTAAGATACAAGTTAATGTATAATAAAATTAATTGAATTAAAAGTTAAGTTAATAAAAAAATGTAATTAAAAAGTTAAAAGTTAAAAATTCATTTTTTTCATGATTTCAGTCTTAATAATAACGGAAGTGACAACAAAAAAAACTATTTAGATTTTAGAACATATCCAAAATTTTTATATTAATTTTTTTTATAATAATAGAGGAAGGTCAGCGATACCGACATACTACTTTGTTTTTGGACTATATTTTTTAG